TGGTGCTAGATTTAAGGAGATGTGCATATTCTTTTTGATTCCGTAGTGGGTGATTTAAAACTAGCAGACTTAGTGAGAAGACAGAAAAAGGGTTGTTCTCCTTCATCTTCGTGTGTACCTCCACCGGATGGGTTCATAAAACTTAATGTAGATGGTGCGATGGTAAAGGGATGGGATAAAGGAGGAATAGGTTGACTGATTAGAGATAGTAGAGGTATTTTTTTTTTGTTAGGATAGTAGAGGTATGATGCTTGATTCGCTTTCAGAGAAGGTTGGGGGTGGTCCTCCTATACTTGTAGAACTATTGGCGATCAAAAGAGGGTTGTTTCTAATTAAAAAGTTGCATGTTAGTGAGAGAATCTCCAGCTTCTCTTTAACCTAGGTGTTTTCAAATTTTAAACTCGAGCCCAGGCGTCTTTGAATATTTTTCTTCTCCTCCTCCGACATCCACCTGTTGTCTGCCGTCGTCGTCCGTAACCCGCTGCTGCCGTCCGTCGCCACACTCCGATCACCATTTGAAGCATTTTGTTCTGGGAAGATCGCTGGCTTACGGTGAGTTCATTTATGGTCTTAGATTTTCGATAGAGTCATTCTATCAACGCAGATATCAACGAAGTCAACTGCCGACTAATGCCGCTTCCCGCCGTCCGAGCGTGACACCGCCTCTCCACTGGGCACAGCGTATTCTAACGACCAGAACCCGTGAACTGGTTCGACAAGATATTACCCTGTCCTCCATCTTTCTATTTTTGTCCTGATTTCACCATGGATCCCCAACCCCCGTCTCAGACCATGCGAACTCGAGAGCTCTCTGCATCAGCTGCGATAGGTGCAGCCTCTGTGAGTCACACTAGTACTCCCTCTGGATTCGATGGTGCAACCATTTCTTCATATCCCGGTAAAGAAAAACGTGACAACAAGATTGAAAAGGAGAGGACAAAGCTTTGGAAACGAAATAGGCGAGCTTTCACCAGACACATGCTGGCCGGATTGAGGAAATACGATAATTTCCCTCTTCCCGTGCGCTCTGATATGAATGATGTTCTGGCAGTCTTGGCCAAAGAGGCAGGTTGGACAGTTGAGTCGGACGACACTACCTACAGGCACTCTCATTCCCACCAAAATCAGCAAAATGTAAGAGTCGTTTTTGCGAGGTCGGGTGAATAGCTTCTTTCAACCAGTTCTCTGGAAAAATGTTCTGGTAAAGGAACATTAGATTTGCAATCACCTGCTGTTAGGATTGATTATAGTGGTATGTCTCCTTCGCAAGGTAGAACTGATAGGATTGAGAGGCTTTCGTTAGTTGAAGCTACACCCGTTCTTTCTGCTGCTGTTGTAGATCACATTGGAACCAGGGGGATAACCACGAAGGGGCAGTTCAATGATAAATCTTCTGAAGTAATGAGAAAGAGAATAAATGGATTTCAAAATTGGAGGAAGGATGGTCATACAAATGGTAGTGATGGGTATAAAAGTGGATGCGTTACGCTATTCATTGAGAACCTGCGGGAGAAGTTACATTGGAAGAGACTTGGATTTATTTTTGGCACACACGGTCAAGTTATTGATGCCTTCATTCCTATAAAGAGGAACTCAAATGAGGTTCGCTTTGGGTTTATTCGCTATGCTACAATTGAAGAAGCAAGGATAGCGATTTCAATGATGAATGGTAATCTTATTTATGGCAGTAAAATTAGAGTCTCTTTGGCTAAATATAAACCCCAACAGTTGTTCAACGTAAGTCTGGGTCGGAAGATATTTCGAGGATTAAACACTGTGAAGTTGAGGGCGTTGGGCACGAAGATAAACTTGACGTGTTGAGTAACTGTCTTGTGGGGTGGTGCAAGAAATTTATAAAGATTGGTAATCTTGCTAACCAAATAAAAGTAAAGGACTAGTTGGTTTCACGCTAATGAGAGCTACTGGTAATGTAGTTTATTGGTTTTTCAATACTCTTTTGTTGAGAAGCGTGAAGGATGATAAGTAGAGCTTCTAGCAGAGTGGTTTTCCAGAGTGGAAACTTGGTCGAAGAGCCTAGTGGTGGAGTGCCGTCGTGTGTGGGTAGTTTGCGAAGGTATTCCTTTCCATGCTTGGAATTGGGATACCTTAAAAAACATTGCAACTAAGTGGGGTAAGTTAATATCAGTCGACAACAGTTGTGAGTTTCCAACGTCTTTTGATCGAGCTAAAATTCAAATACTCACGAAGGCCCAAGGTATAATTGATGAGATGTTGGAGTTGAAGGTCGGTGCAAATTTATTCAATATATTGGTGCATGAAGTTGAGCCTTCTTTCAAACCTAATTCTTGGGTCCCTGAAGATTGCGATGTTTCACTAGAGCTTGTTCCTCCAATTGGGTCGTGACTTTTTTGGCAGTTGCATTCAGAGGCATTTTTTTTAGTTTGTGGTTGTAATTATTGGTTTTTATTTTTCTCTGTTATCTTTCATCTTCAGGTGTATTTCAAAAATAGGGTTATTGTCTTAGGGGCTTTTTGTTCGAAGCTGAAAGATTTTTAGGTGATATAGTTTTTGTAATGGCTTTTATTCCCGTAGGAGGGTTCGGTGTTACCATATGTACTTGGTATTATGTTTAATAAAATATGAGACACTCTTTTCTTCCTTCCAATGTTCTTCAACATACTTCTAAGTATATGGAAGAATACAAAGGGAGTTTTTAATGTGACCTCCAACTTCTATATAAAAAAAAGGGTTGTTTCTTATTGAAGAATTAGGATCTGTCCCAAGTCAGAGGATTATTCTAGAATCGGATTCTAGTACTGCATTAAAGTGGATTAAAAATCCGGATATATGTACCCCTGTGTTTCAGTCCTTGGTGAAAGAAATAGCTTCCAGTGTTGAAGACAAGGATATTATTATAAGGCATATCCTGTGAGCTGCTAATCGGGAAGCGGATAAGTTAGCTAAAGATGGTATAGGTTGATTAATAGGTTCTAAGTTTGGCGTGTTAAGGTGTTGTGAAATGTTTGTATTACTGAAGGGTGTTTTGGTTTCAATCTTATGTAATCAGTCTTATGTTGTAACAGTAGGTTGTTTGGTACTGGCTGTGTATTATTGTTATGATTAATAAAATTCATAGGCACTCTTTTTTTTTTTTGATAGAAGATTAGGCCTCATTAAAAAACCCCTTTTTCACCTTCATGTTATAAAAGTAACATGAAGGACAAGGAAAGGAGGAAAAGAGTGCCTAGAATTTATTAGATGGAACAAAGTACAACAAAGGCAGACCCTAAACATCTGCAAACACCACCAGAAATTACATAAAACTTAAACACAACAGCTAAACATAGGAAATAAAATTATCTACTCCTCAATACAAGCAGACAGAAACCATTACATCACCCTATCCCATCCTTAGCTAATTTGTCAGCTTCCCAATTTGTAGCCCTCAAAATATGCTTGATAATGATATCCTTCCCTGCCATAAGAGAGACTATCTCCTTCACCAGTACTTGAAACACAGGAGTGCATAAACCCGGATTCTTGATCCACTTTAGAGCATTACTTGAATCAGATTCAAGAATAAATCTCCGATTAGGGACAAAACTTAAATCTTCCAGAAGACATAACCCCCTTTTAATCGCCAATAATTCTGCGAAGATAGGAGGACCACCCCCAACTCTTTCTGAAAACCATTGAAGCAACACACCTTTACTGTCCCGAATCAAACCACCAATGCCTCCAATATCCCAACCCTTTACCATCGCTCCATCAACATTGAGCTTTAAGAACCCATCCGGAGGAGGAACCCAGCAAATTGGTTTAGAGATTCCATTTCCTTGTCTTCCCACCAAATCCGCAAGTTTTAAATCTCCCACAAGAGAGTCTAAAGGAATATTCACATCCTTGAGCTTTGCAACAAACCAGGAAGCTATTCTAAAACGGACAATAAAGAACAGTCTCACCACATCCAGCTTAACTTTATGAAAAATAACCTCGTTTCTGCATTTCCACACTGACCACATCAACGCCCCTGGAATAAATTTCCATATCAAAGAATTCGGAAGTAAATCATCCCACAAATTGAAAAAGTCCATGATATTCTTTGGAATCACAAAGGACAAATTCCAAATATTCAATAACCTGGCCCACAGACCCCATACTACCTCGCAATGCAAAAATAGATACGAAACTGATTCCATTTCCCTACCACACAGAGAGCATAAAGGATCATCAATCCCTACCACTCCTCGCTTCAGTAATTCCTCCTTCACCGCCACTCTCTGGTGAGCCACTTGCCATACAAATGTCTCCACCCGTGGAGGAGCAATCCCTACCCAAATATGTCTCTCCCATATCTCCATCTTCTGCTGACTACCATCTTGATCAAGAAAAATGTTGATACAAGATTTAGCTGAAAAACAGCCCTCACCATTCCCTGACCAAATCCAACAGTCTTCCTCACATGGCGATATTGAGATATTGTTCAACATAGAAATCAATTACAACAGCTGTTCAACCTCCCAATCCGCCAAATTTCGCCTCATTTGAATGTCCCACACCCAACCAGCGCCGTTATTCACCCTAAACTCCATCACCTTACCCGATTTGTTGCTCGAAAGAACATAGAGTCTAGGAAACTGTATTTTCAAAGGGACTTCACCCAACCATACATCGTTCCAGAACTGCACATAATTCCCCTTCCCTGTCTTCAAACGCATATTCCTCCTAATACAATCCCCAAAACCATCATCGGAAAAGAAATTTTTAACCATATCTCTCCAAATCCATGATGCACGGCCAAGCCTTATTTTCTATAAAAAAAATTGATATATAAAAGTTGGAGAAAGGTTAACTGTAACATGAATCATCATTTAATTATCTTGTCCTTGTCTTTCTGCAAGATACGAATTTTTCCTCTTGCATCATTGTTTTCGTGAAATATAAGTGCTTCTTGTTTTATCTTTCTTGAGTTATAGAAGAACTCGAGTATTTTTGAAGCATTCTTTTTCAATGTTAATATGCATTTATCTGCTACCTTTCTCTCCCTTCTAAATCTGCATTTTCTGCAGGCTATGTAAAGCTCATAAAGCATCAAGATGAGCAACGAAGCTTTTGATGGGCAGATACTGACTGAGAAACTGTCGAAACTAAACAATTCGCAACAAAGCATTGAATGTATCCTACAGTTTTAAGTTTAACTCGAGGTTTTTTTATTAAGAAAATAGTAATGCTGGAATAGTCTTTCACTTCCATTAGTGCTATATAATTACAATGACACTCCTGATTATTGAAATTTGGTGTAATTCTAAAGTTAATAATTGAAGAACAGGAATCTTTTGTTCATCTTATTCCTTTATATAAGTGTTCTCTCTTCATATAACCAGTATTGTTAAGGTGTGTGACTAGGCATCGCGCCTTAGCACTTGCAACAAAAGCTCTTTAAACCTTTTATAGACAAGGTCCATTTGATCAAGTGCATGCCTTTTTTGTTTTGACATGTTTTTGTTAAGCGGTATGCGCAAAATGTAACAGCCTGATTGAAATTCTCTCAAATCTTTAATTGTTCGTTTACTAATAAAAGTGGGATGTCAAATGTTTCTCAATATTTGATTGTTCAGCAACAGATATGAGATAATAAGAAAGTTATGCATATTCACCAAGAAAAGAAAAAGGGAAATTTTGCATGTTTTGTATTGTAAGCTGAATCTCCCTTCAGATTTTTATTGTAATTATACATCTTAAGCTTATTTCATATATATATATATATATATATATATATATACAACATTTATAAAAACATATGCCCATACATATTGCATTGTAAGTCACTCAGGGAAGTCTCTCTCTGCCTTTTTTTCTTCTATGCATTGTGCTTCAAGCAATGTAATTTTTTAGTAACTGCTAACATATTTCATTTAAATTTAAAGGAGAATGAGTTTATATAAATTATCTGCAAATGCTAATTTTTGTTTGTTTGATATGTACGATCCACCGTTGTGCTTACAGGAATTAGACTGATGCTTTTAGGAATTCTTGGTGATTCTGATATTATTGCCTTTTTTTTTGTGGGGGACCTGTTATTGACATCATCGTTAATTTTTAAATTAATTTGGGTTTGCTCTTCTATTTTGTCTTCAACGAAAGTCATGTAACTAGATTTTCTGCAAAGATAGCATAATACCGTTATATATAGTGATTTAATCGTTTTAAGTTGGCCAATGCTACAAAACATTTCCACAAACTATTTTTAATTTACGGGTTAGCTGTATGACTATTTATAGTTCCTTGTTTGTAAGGAATAAAAAGCTATTTGCACTATAAAAGTTTCTCAGCATAGTTTTCTCACTTGATAGATAATCTCTTGTAAGAAAGAATGGTTATTGGATGAATTACAAAAATTTCCACAAAAATGTAGCACTTTCACTTAATAGATAACTTCTTTTATTTCTTATATACTAGCACAAATTGTTGGTAGCATGCATTTCCTTCACATTTCTTCAGCGTTGTCTCGTTGGTGTATTACTCACCGGAAGAAGGCAAAACAGATTGTTGAAACATGGGACAAATTGTTTATCTCTTTCCAGAAAGAACGGCACGTTTCTTTTCTATATTTAGCTAATGACATTTTGCAAAATAGTAGGCGAAAGGGAAGTGAGTTTGTAAATGAATTCTGGAAAGTTCTTCCAGATTCTCTCAAATGTGTGTATGATGATGGTGATGAGTATGGAAAGAAAGCTGTAACCCGACTGGTAAGTTTTTTTTTTCAATTTTGAGAACTTTTCTTTCTGTAGCTTTTATCAAATGAATTAACTACTTCAGGTTTTGACTACTGATCTGGGGCTGTGATAACATTTTCTTTTCTGATGGTTGGCCTCTGTCTCATTTTCAGGAAGTTAATGTCTTGAATGTAAAAAAAAAATTACTTTTGGTTAATTGTGGTCCCTCATCTCGCTTCCTCTTGACATGAGATGTATTGCTTTGAATGTCAACTACAGTTTTCTAGTCTGCTTTCATGTGGAACCAATCAACATAATAGTCAATCTGGCCTTTTTTTTGTTTGTTTGTTTTTATAACAATCTGGGTTTTGTTACCTAGTGTCAATCTTGCATTTGTCTTCTTTTGCTTTAAAGTGGCTTTATTTGTATTTAAATCACAAGTAGGTGTTAGTGAGGGAAGCTCCCGCTTCTCTCTAGAGCCCAGGCGTTTTTAAAAAAAGTATTTTCTCCACCGACATCCACCGTCCATTGTCTGCAGTCCGTCGTCGCCGTTAGCTGTCCGCCGCTATACTCCGATCTCCGTTTGACGCCGTTTTTCCTTGGAAGATCGTCTGCTCACGGTGATTTCAACTCTGGCCTTAGATTTTCAATAAAGACTTTCAATCGACGCAGATCTACACGCCGTCCACTGTCGATTTACGCCGCCTCCCGTTGTCTGTGTTCGACACCGCAGAGCTCAGCGTCTTATCGCGACCAAAACCCCCTATCCTAGTGTTGAGAATCATTGTTATTCTCCATTAAATTGCAGTGAATTGTTTCGGCAAGAACAAAAACCCTTTCCTCCATTTTTCTGTCCTTCTCCTCCGCCATGACATTCTCTTGAGTAAGGATTGAACATTCCAAAAAATCCTTAATCCTACTAGCCAGATCTAACAATGGAACCCCAAACCCCGTCTCAGCCCAGGCGACCTGGAGGGTTCGCTGCAACAGTCGCGGCGGCTGCAACCTCTGTGAGCCCCACTAGCACTCTCTCTGGATCAGCGCAACTACTACTTCCTACTCCGACAAGGAAAATGCGAGAGGGAGAAAGAAAAGGAGAGGACAAAGCTTCAGAAACGGCACATGAGAGCCTTCACCAGCCGTATGCTAGTCGGATTGAGGCAATACGGTAATTTCCCTCTTCCCGCGCGTGCTGATATGAACGATGTACTGGCCGCCTTAGCCCGTGAGGCTGGTTGGACCTGTGTTTTAGAAAGCGCTTTGAGGCGCTAGGCGAGGCGTTTAGAAGAAAGCCTCCGACCACCAAGGCGGCGACGATTCAGTCGTCGGAGGCGACGATTCAGTCGTCGGAGGCGACGATTCAGTCGTCGGAGGCGACGATTCAGTCGTCGGAGGCGACGATTCAGTCGTCGGAGGCGACGATTCAGTCGTCGGAGGCGACGAGGCGATGCTTTTAGCGATAAACGTACAATGACCCATTTCACGTACAATTATTTGCTTAGCAAATAAACAGGCCACTGTAACAGAAAGATCAACAGCCCCATCCCTGTTTAGATGTAGGAGAAACCTTAACAGAAACGACGATAATTCATAAGCGAAATGAAAAGTTGTACCTGAAAGAGAAGAACAGGAGAGTAGAAGAGGAGGCACTCTTTGAACGATATTGCCGATTGAGAAAAACCCTAAGGTTTCAAGATAAGTTAACTATTTATAGTGTAACCTTGAAGGCCACGATTCTTTATTTCACACGTGGACAGCCTGATTAACATTGATGGTCATGGGAAGTTAAAATTTGGGCCGAAATTTTGAACTCTTTTTTAATGGGCCTCTTTTTGGTTTTATGGACTTTTTTAGAATATGGATACTAAACTCACTTGTTTTATTCCGTTTTGAATTATATCTAATTAAATAATAAAAATATACTAAATTTGATTGATGAAGACAATGAAGAGATAGAACAGGATATTGGACTTTTCGAAGATGATGGGGGAGGAGGAGGTGCTTGCGATTGATGTTGATGACGATGATGATGAAGATGAATGGCGCTCATACAAAATTACGGTCTCTTTGGCTAAATATAAACATCGACAGTCTTATTGGAAAAAGCTCTCGACAATTGTTCAACGTAAGTCTGAGATGGAAGATGTTTCGAGGAATAAACACTGTAAAGTTGAGGGTGTTGTGGACGAAGATAAACTTCACGTGTTGAGTAACTGTCTTGTTGGGTGGTGCAAGAACTTTATCAAAATCGGTAATCTTGATAACCAAATGCAAGCCAAAGGACTAGCTGGTTTCACGCTAATGAGAGCTGATGGAAATGTAGTTCTAATGGTTTTTGAAGACTCTGATTCGTTGAGAAGCGTGAAGGATGATAAATTAGAGACTCTTGCAAAATGGTTTTCCAGAGTTGAAACTTGGTCAGAGAGTCTGGTGGTGGAGTACAGTCGCGTGTGGTTAGTTTGCGAAGGTGTTCCTTTTCACGCTTGGAATTGGGATACTTTCAAAAACATTGCAGCTAAGTGGGGCATATTATTAGCAATTGACAACAGCTGTGAGTTTCCATCGACTTTTGATCGGGCTAAAATTCAAATACTCACAAAGGCTCAGGTGAGAATTGATGAGTTGTTGGAGTTGAAGGTCGATGCTAATTTATTCAAAATCATGGTGCATGAAGTTGATCCTTCAAACAAAATTCTTGGGTCCCTAAAGATTGTGATTTTTCATTAGAACTTGTTCCTTCAATTGGATCGTAAAAGATCGACAACTATATTGAGAGGTGTTTCTTTTAGTTTTTTTTGGTTGTAAGTGTTGGTTTTTATTTTGTTATGTTCTTTTGCAACTTGAGGTGTATTTTAGAAATCGGTTTACTGTCTTTGGGGCTTTTTGTTTGAAGATGGGAGATTTTTAGGTGATATGATTTTTTTGTAATAGAGGGCATTCGGTGTTTTCACATGTATTTGGTGTTCTATTTAATAAATTATGAGGCACTCTTTTCTTCCTTCCAATGTTCTTCAACATGCTTCTAAGTATGTGGAAGAATATGAAGGGAGTTTTTAATGAGACCTCCAACTTTTATCAAAACAAAAAAGTGGCTTTATTTTGCTCTAATAGCTATTGTAAATTTGTAATAAATTCTAGGGTAGTGTAATTAGTCGTTTGGTGATGGCATTTTTTAGCCTAAATGCAAGTAGTCAAAAAGTTGCAATTCTAATGGGTGATTAATTCCACCTCAAATAGGTTTAATGATAGAATGTTTTCCTGGAAGCTCATGTAGAGTATACTCTCTTTTATTTGATTATGATTCCACAGTCCTTGTGGAACTATTGTCACAATTTTGCTTCTGATCTTGGTACTACTAATTGTTGCATGTGCTAGTTACGTCTCTCTTTAAATGGCGGTGTTAACTTTACTTGTGCTACAACTATATTGATATGTGAGACATTATCGAGTACTTTAAGGGTTATGAGGTATCTTTAGGGTTTAAATCTAGGTTCAGGTGTAACACCCCAAACCGATGCGGGTAGCCCGATCCGATTCGGGAAGTCACATTAGGGCCACCGGAGCGACCCACCATAAAAATAGCGGAAATTTTAAAACTTTTTATCAGAACATGTAAACTTATAAATCATTTATCACTATTTAAAAAAAACAGATTTCCAAACTCGTATATAAATCAAAATACAATTACATGCCCCCTAATCACAAGTACCATACTCTGCAACCACGCCGGAAGAACTCCCTTACTGAAGTCGATAGATGCACTGGTACAATTGTTTTAACCTGAAAAGGTGAGTAATAGAGTGAGCTTTGGAAAGCTCAGTAATACAGAACTACCAGATGATGCTACATGACATGTAGATAAATGTAAAGCCATATAATTTCCTTATTGAATCATACGTATACCAGCTTGCAGAATAATTTGGGGTTCCCTTAGAAGTTCATCGAGTAGAAGCCATGAATCTCAGTTCATAAGAAACCTTTCAAAGTATGACATTTTCAGGAGATTGAATAGGATGTCTAGTGTGTTCCAACAGTATAATAAATCATAATAGTACAAATCATAGTCCAGTAAATCTCACAATTTCGTAAAAGAGTTTAACTTTTGAAAATCATAGTTTAAACCCTTTTCTAGTACACCATCAGTTCCCAAAAATTATTTTCCATATAGCTTACTTTATGCACATAGCAAAGAAAGCCGACTTAAGGATAGGCTATAAAGCTTGTATCCTTAAGCCCAAGTCAATAAGTCCATATAGCTTACCCTAAGCACACAACAAAGAAAAGCCGACCTAATGAAACATCTTGGGGCCCTCAAGAGTCACATTAGGCCCATTTAGCTTGATCAGAGCTATTCCATCGTAATTAAATTCCAAAATTCAATTGCACCGTGACATAAATTCCATAAATCCAAAAACATGGTAATCATATACCATTTCAAAACAAAAATTAGATAGCAACCATATTCCATAATTTGTCACATTAAATTGGTGCATCCATAAAACAATAACCAATGAATTCGGTGTACCACATATTAAAACCAATAAAACAGTTCAGTAATAAGTAGGGAACACACTAGAGAATCCAAGTATTTCCAGAGGCCATTATAGTTATCATTTTGGATAACATGAAACTTATGAAATTTGAACGAATTCCTGGAACAAGGTCCTATTGAGGAGAATCGATTACTAACCGATCTAGCCAGACATTTAATGTTGATACATTAGAATCCCACTATATTTTCGTGTGCTTTAGGAAAACGTTCAGGAACCTTTATACATAATAATTCTAAATTCAGATTTACTGCGAGTGATTTCATTACCCAAACAATCAGGGGTATTCAGGAATATACTTTAAATTCATAGGATTTCAACCCAATTGAACCAAATGAGATATTCAGAATCTTTTCCATCTGCGTTACTTGTTTTTTTTTCAAACATGACCGAAGTGATTTTAGATGAAATATAGAATCGAAGATTCAAGTCATTTACAATCTACGACTATCGATCATATTATCAAACAACTCGAGTTACACA